CCGAGGGGGAGGCGGGGCCGCGGGCCCGGTTGCGGCGGCCGCTGCGGCTCTCGAGGCGCGCTGGTCGGGGGCGGGGGCGGCGGCGGGGCGGAGGCACGGGGGCTGGCGCCTCACGGCCCGCAGCCATCGTGCGGCAAGCGGCTGCCGGGCGGGCTGGAGCGGCGGGGGCGCGTGGTCATGGGGGCGGCGCGGCGGCCCGCACCGAGTCCAGACGGAGGCGGCCCGGCTGCCCGCCGCCGCCGCGGCACGGCGCGGGCTGGGCCCTGAGGCGGCGGCGCGCGCGGACCCCCGAGCGGCGGCGGCTCGGCGCGGAGGCAGGGGAGGCCGCGCCGGGGCTCGCGGCCAGGCGGGCGGCCGCTCCTCCTCCCCGCCCTGCTGGACGGCCTCACAAGCCGCCCATCGCCCGACGCGAGGGGCCGACGCGCGACGCGGAGGAGCGGCCCCCGGCCCCGGGCCTCGCCGCCCGCCCCGGGCCGGGCGGACCCCGTCCTCTCTGGGCCGGGGCCGGGGGCTGACGGAGGGAGGGCTGGCGTGGGAGGGCCCGAGCCTGCTGCTCCTCCGAGCCGAGGAGGGCCAGGAGAAGAAGGGCAGTCACCCGGTTGGGCACCTTCTGTCACGAAGACGGGTGCAGAGACGCCGCGGGAGAAACACAGCGTCCGCGGGCGAAACTCGGCGCTAAATGGCGCCGGGAGTCTGAAGCCTCCACACAGCCCGCTCGGGCCCCGCCCCCCGCTGCACGGGGCGCCCAACCCCCACCCCGATCGCGGGGCTCTCGCGCAGGCGTGCCCGCCCCGAGACTCACTGGGACTTGTAGTTGGCGCCTTGAGGAATGAATGGGACAGAGGAGGAAGGCGCCTACGACTCCCGTGATGCCCTGCGATGGCTTAGGCTGATGCCTGACGGGAGCTGTAGTTCTCTCTGAAACCGCCCCTTCTGGAAGGCGGATGGGAGCGTCACCGTGAGTCGCTAAGCCCCATCCTTCAGTGGGCGCTAGCTAGGAAAATCATGACTTAGGCATTAATTGTGTTAGGAAGGAAGGGAGAAGAAAAGGAGAGGGAGGCAGGACAAGGGGAGAGGCTCCCACCATGCTGTGCCGAGGCGAGAGCGAGCTCTTGGGGTTGCCATGGATGGAAAAAGAGCTGCTGTTCCTGTTTAATGTGGAGCGGCGTTGGTGCCGCGGGCACAGAGACGGGGGAGCTGGACCCCTTTCCTGGGGCGACAGACTTTGTGCATAACATTGATTGGATAGGTTAGGGAACCTCCCTTCCATGGCACTTAAGGCCGCATCCTCGGCTCCAGCCCAGGACAGATATTCTGGCTCTCAAGAAACGGGCCGCCCCACTGCAGTCAAGGGTCACAGCGAACTCCGCCCGGAAAAAGCGCGCAGCACGCGCGGGAGGGGGCGGATTCAAGAAGAGACGGGGTCTAACGTATGTTTGCGGCTTTTACCACAAACTTGAGGGCCGAGTTGACTCGGATGAAACTTAATGTCCGCCTGTGTTTGCTTGGTGCTTAGTAAAACAGCATCCAGCTTCCTCTAGAGGTGCCTGCATGTACCCGTGTGATTGACACCACGGCTTCGGACGTGCGGCTTTCTCGAAAGCATCCTTGGGCTCCCGGGACCTTTGCTCCTCGCAGCCACTCAAGATGGTGCAGGTGATGAGCACCAGGGGGCGCCCGACGGAGGAGGAAGCCAAACCCAGATGGCGGTTGAAAGTCCAGCCCAACGATAGGAGCGGGAAGTGCTGAAACGTGCGCAACCGCGCCGAGCGCGCGCGCTCCGCTCAGTCTCCGGCCCCCGAGCCCCCTGGGCACCCGCTCCGGAGCGCACGGCCCGTGCGGCCGCACGGGGAGGACGGCGGTTGGAGGCAGCCGGACGTAAGATTCCTTAGCGCTTAGTTTCCTAGCAAATGCCCAAACGGGCTGCATGAGCTCCAGTTGGAGAAGTTTGTCTCTACAATTCATAGCAATTTATCTGATATGTAGAATAGTTACACTGCTTCTCAGTTTTTTATCAAAAGCTACCCTTTGAGGTATACAAAAACAGTTTGCTTTAAAACCGATGGTTGTTAGGTTTTATGAAGGTGGAAGATTATGAACATTTTAAAATGCGAGTTTAGTAGAGGCCACTAGAGTCTTCAAATATTAGAGTTCCATTGTTTTAAAGAATATCCCCTTCACTTGTTTGCTATGGTAACGGCAAATATCATTATGGTATATGTATTAAGTGGTTTGTCTCAACCGTAAACTCGGTGCAAAGCAAGGGGAGATACGACTTTAAAATACATTTGTATGGTACTTCTTGAGGCAGCTTCTTAGAACTTGCACAATTGTTGCTTTACTAGGAAAAGCAGTCTACTTTAAAACATGAGACAACTAATTATAAATTGATGAGTTAAAGGGAGATCAGTAAATCACAATGTTCGTGTTTTGGCACCATAAAAAAAATGAGGATATTTCTGTGTGAATGGTCATTAAAAGCCTTTATTACTACCTGGCCCTGCTTACTGGGCCATGAACCTTTGGCCACACTGCGTTGGACACAAGTCCCATGACAACCACCATGCCCCATTGACATGTTATTTCAGCAGGGAACAACTAAATTCATTGTAAATAATTTAATTAACTGTTGACTTAAAACTAGGCTTGCCCATGTGACAGCTTTTCCTACTTGTGTTATGTTAGCTTCACCAGGAAAACAGGTACGATGTTAGATTTAAAGCTTAAACTGTTTATGTGAATATTTTACTGTGGACACTTATTTGTTCAGCTCCCTTTTCAACACTTACCCACTTTCAGTTAGCGTGGTATTTTCTATTACTCATTACTATTATATCCCTAATAGTTCTTTTTCTTTCTCTGTCACTTCAATTATCAAGTAAAGAATTGACCTCTCTGTAATCCATATAAAACATCAAGAGGTAGGAGAAAGAACCCAGGACACCATGGATGCACTAAGCTCAGAGATTTGACTTCCTGGTGGGTAGGTCCATACTAAGAATACAAGTATTTTATTTTCTCTCACCATGTTCTTAATTCACTTTAGTCCTTATTCATTTTATCACATTGATTCATATTTCTTTCTAGTTCCCATCCATTCACATTTTATGTTTACATGGTCCCTGCCATTGGTAACTGGCCAGCAATGAAAGCCAGAGATACCTTTGATTTAGACAGTGGATGAATACACAAAATCTATTTTATTTTGTATGTGGCATAATTTATAGGGTAGCACCTTGAAGTGTAGAGAAAAAAAATACCATCTTAAGAGAATTCCTCCTTTTTTGTCTCTTTTCCCTCATTTCTCATGCTCTTTTGTCTTGTCTATGATACGTCTTATTTTACCTCCTTGTTATTTGCAACTCAAGGAAGAAGGGAGAATCAGACAGTTAAACAATGAAGAATAGATTTTTAAAACTTCTTAAATTATAAATGAAATAAAGGGGGATGAGACTTGCCCTATACCAAAGCAAATTGTAAAACCATAGGATTAAATCTGTATGGAATTGAGATAAGCATAGATAATGGAGAGAATACAGAAACATGTGTATTTAGAGTTCCATGTGTGTATGAGCATCCCATAAATGAGAAAGATGGCATTTCAAGTCAGTGGGGTAAAGATTAATAAACAGTGCTTGATCAATTAGTTATTAGTTTGAAAAACAAATTAGGTTAGATGTCTACCTCACACCATCTACAAAATTAATATGCACACAGCTTAAAGAGCTATTTTTTTTAAAGAGCTATAAGAATTTTTAAAATATAGGGGAACGTGGGATAGGAAAGGACTTCAAAGAACAATCCAAGAGCCGTAAAGAAAAACATTTGACTGTTATCAAAGTTGACAATTCTGGTCAATAAAGCACAAATGATGAGCTGGCAGAAAAACTTAGAACCTATATAACAAAAGGCTAATAACCAAAATACATAGATAACACCTTAAACCACAAAGAAAAAGACACCTGTATAGAAAAGGGGGGGGAGAAGATAGGAGAAGACAACTGAGACAGTGGGAAATGCAAATGACTGAAAAAATTCTGGAATCCAGTAACTAGGGAAGTGCAAGCTAAAATAAGATATATATTTTTTCTTCAAAAAAATTAGCGAAATTTTTAAGGATTTATAATATCAAGTGTTGGCAAGGGTGTGGAGAAACTCATGCTATTAATGATAACATAAATTAGTACAAGCTTTTCTGAGGGCAATTTGTTAGTTAAAATGTACAATGTGCATAGCCATTGATCCAGCAGTCTCCCTTTCTGGTACCTACCTGAGAGAAATACTTGCGCCTGTGCACGAAAAATGAGAAGGTCCACTACAGCTTTGTAACCAAAAAGTGAAATAATCTGCATGTATGTTGACAAGAAAATAAACTATGGTATACTTAATTTTGACAACACCATGCAGCAGTAGAAGAGCAGGAAGTAAATATATATGTGGTCACATAAAAATAGTAAAAAACTCAAGTTGCAGAATAATAGGTATTAGATCATATGTTATATTTTTAAATTATGTTTCTATATGTATTTAAATGCACAGAGAAAAAGTCTGGGCAATACCCACCAAAATGATATGGGTATCCATATCATCTTCCAGGCCTTAACAAGTTCTCACAAGAAGAGATTTATCAGAATTACCTAGGAAGCTATTACAAAACACACCTGTTGGAGCGTTTCACCACCACCACCCCACCCAACCTGGGTGTATTTTTGGTGAAAGAATTCATTGCAAGCAGACCTGCACTACAATAAAAGTGGTTGTTTTTTAAGTTCTTTAGGAAAAGAAAATGTTAGTAGATGGATTAGTAAATTAGGATTTCAATAGGGAATGAGAAACACTGGAAAAAATAAATTTGT